GAGGGATTTACATGCAGAACTTCCTAAAAGTGGAGAAAGAAAGTAAACCTTCCATAGAACGAAACATTAATCATAAAAGGAGCAAAATGGATAAGCTGAACTCCTTTTGTGTTGAGGCGGCCATCTTGATTTTTAGCTACTGCTGGTTGAAAGCGAACCTTGAGGGATTTACATGCAGAACTTCCTTAAAAGTGGAGAAAGAAAGTAAACCTTCCATAGAACGAAACATTAAAGGAAAACACAGATCAGGCGGAATGAAACAAAAGGCCAACACAGCATGCAGGACCGCTGTGCCATCCAAACTTTATTAAAAGATGCTTTAAAAAAAAAAGTAGCAACTGAGGAGGCCCAGGCAAAGTCAGCATGCAAAAGGGGTCAGAGTTGCGCGGTGACAAAGATCCACAGCTCGGCTAGGGAGGTGCTGACCCTTCCGTGGCGGGAGACCTGCATCTGAATCCTCAGGTGGAGGTCTCGGGGCTCCGGGATAGGCCGCTGCAAAGACACGACGCCCCTGTGGCCGTCCACCTTCCTCACGGCGAAAAAGCCGCCCTCGTTCCCGCTCAGGATGGCGAAGTGAAGGTGATCCCCGGAAATGACATTGGACGGGCCCATGCGGAAAATGTCAAGGGGGGCCTGGAGGTTGGTGGGGAAAGAGATTCGTTTGCAGAGCGAGTGTGGCTATTTTAGAGGAAAAGAAAGAGGGGGAAAAAAAAACAGAACACAAAATAAAACGACACTCTTAAATTGAAGAACAGCTTGGGGTCACCAGAGAAATGTAAAAAATGGCTTAATAAGACTCCCGCCGTGAAAATTGCCCATCCGCCATTAAGAATTATTGAGAAAGCGATTGCACATAAAATAGGAAATAACATTAAAAAATAAAAAAAAAATAAAAAAAATTCAGCCAAGCAGCGTGCACAGTTCCAACTTGCATCCGGATTTCCGTTTTTCCCAAGCCATTAAATAATAGCAATTAGGGTAGAACGATCTCCACCGGAGCAGCTAATACTGTAAATGATTGCCATTAATAGCTACAATTAAGGCTGCAATCTGATAACCGGGGGGAACTGATTTGATTTGCAAGATGTGAAAATAATTCCTCGCCAAGCTGGCCCGGTTTCCATGCGAGCGGAGGGGTTCCCCAGCGGAGGCTGACGGGATGTCCTCCGCACCGGAAAAGGCGAATTCTCAACCGTCTTTCCTTGAAAGTAGTGGCATCGTAGGATTGGAAGGGGCCTCAGAGGTCTTCTAGTCCAACCCTCTGCTCAAGCGGGAGACACCCTATACCATATCTTATCTATCTATCCATCCATCCATCCATCCATCCATCCATCCATCCATCCATCTTTATATCTATCTATCTATCTATCTATCTATCTATCTATCTATCTATCTATCTATCTATCTATCTTCTATCTATCTATCATCTAACAGACATCATAGATAGATGTCTGTCTATCTATCTATCTGTCTGTCTATCTTCTATTTATCTGTCTATCTATCTATCATCTATCTATCTATCTATCTATCATCTATCATCTATCTATCTATCTATCATCTATCTATCAATCATCTTGATCCCATCCTCTCAGTTTTTAATTGAATTTTGGTTTTAATTGGGTTGTTTTAAATTCGGGCCAAAATTTATTTAATTGTTTTTTTAAATGTTTTTAAATTTTATATGCTATGTTTTATCCTGGCTGTACACCGCCCTGAGTCCCGCAGGAGAAGGGCGGTATAAAAATATAATAAAATAAAATAAAATAAATAATTAACACCCCCACCAAGCCACGCCCACAGAACCGGTAGTAACAAATTTTACATTTCACCACTGCATTAACATCTTGATCGGATTGTTTGGTACTCTAAAACAGGCATCAGAGTGGGAATATTTCACTGCCCAGAATCACTTGCAATTTCCACAGCCTCTGGAGAGCAAAAGTCATGAGCCTCCTGTTCCCAGGAACATTAATACATTAATACCAGCAATTGACATTTTACTCCAACTGGGGTCAAAATCTGCATCATCATGAGCAGGGGTGGGCTTTAAAAATTTTAGCAAGGGGTCCTCTGCCCAGTTGCTGGATGGACGTGGCCATGGTGGGCGTGGCCTAGTCAGCCTCCTGCACCATGGCAGGGGGTGGGGGGCGTTTTTGCCCTCCCAGGGCCCCGGAGGCTTTCCTTGAGCTTCCGGGAGGGCAAAAACGGCCTCTCCGGGTTCCAGAGGCCCTCCAGAGGCCGGAAACGGGCCCGTTACTGTTTCTGGCCTTCCTGAACTTCCGGTAGGCCCATTTTTGACCCTCCCCGAGCCTCCGCGCTTGCCCTGCACATCCAAAACAGGCCGGTGGGATTCCTGGGAGGGGAGGGGTGGGTAGGGCCAGCCAAGAGTGGGATTTGGGGGTTCTCCAGATTGCACAGAATCTTAGCTAGAGGTTCTCCTGAACCCCTACGAACCCCCAGCAGCCCCACAGCTGATCATGAGTGAATGCGTGCATGGGGAAAAGGAGCAGGGCCTTGTGGCCAGCACCACACCCACCATTACCTCTATGGACATCCCCAGAAAGAGGACAGCATCCCTGGGGAACCTTAAACTGAACCCTGGAGCCTAGCAAACAGAACCATTCCCTTATGAAAGCTGTCTACCTTGATGGTTCTCCATGCCACAGACACAATCACAGAGGAAACCCCACGGCTGGAATGAGCAAAAGCTGGAAGCACATTTCCAAAAGCACCTTCATATAGCTCCTTTCAGGACTCAGCAATTAAATTACCCAACCGCCAAGCTCAAAAAAATAAGTACTCCTGGGTGGAAATTTTGATTATTTCAGTTGAAAGTAGTGATTTTTTCCCCCCCAAGGATCAGTATTCTTGGTTTTCTGTTGAGCCTCAGAAGCTACAAATATTTACTCTGTTATTAAGATTTTGTTAAGAACAAAGACATAACAAATGTAAAAAAAAAAAAAAAAGCCAGTTAAAAAAAGGAGATTTTGCATTCATAGCAGGGGTGGGTTCTAAAATTTTTAGACCGGGGGGGGGCAGAACTGGTTCGGTGACATCATATCGTCACCGCTACCGGCTCGGGAGAACCGGGCCGAACCAGGAGGAACCCACTACTGATTCATAGGTACCCAAAATAAACACTGAAGGACAACCTTTATACCTCCAAGATTTGACAGAATATTTTATCTTGTACTGGAGCTCATTTGTGGAATGTTTCATAAACTGGGTGTTGAAATACTGAAATGTTGTAGTGAGGAGTTGAAATATAAATGAGACCAAAAACACCTGTGTATTGAAACACTTTTGTGTTTCACATAAGTCTCACACTCATTTCTGAACCAAATAGGAACTCTGGTGGCTCAGCACGCTAATTAACATCCACTTACATCTGCTGCCTGCAATTACTGCAAGTTCAAATCTCACCAGGCTCAAGGTTGACTCAGCCTTCCATCCTTTCTAAGGTAGGTAAAATGAGGACCCAGATTATGGGGGCAATAAGCTGACTTTGTATAAAATATACAAAAGTATGACGGCTATTGCTTAACGCATTGTAAGCTGCCCCGAGTCTCCGGAGAAGGGCGGCATATAAATCAAATTAAAAATAAATAAATAAATAAATTCCTGGCTGAAAAGCCACTAGATACATAAAAGCAATACATATAAATATAAAGTTATCATTCTTCTAGGGGTAAGAAAGAAATATTATTTTAAAGGATGTGTTTTGCCTTATTAGAACATCATTATATTGCTAAGACGAGCTGTTTTTAACTTGCAAGCTACCTTTGTTATTTATAATTTATAAAATAAAAGATATTTAACAGATAGGCATCACTTCCACTGGATATAAAGAGATAATCATAGAAGGGAAGTTAATCTAATTTGGTTCAGAGCTGAATGGGAGACCATCAGAAACCCCCAAGACAGTAGGGGATAGTAGGAAATCCAAAATGTATCCTCTGAAGAAGGCGCTTGTGATGCCAAAGATATCTTTATGGACAAATTCGACTTAAGGAAGACTTTATCTTTTTGGTTTATCTATATCAATCCCTCAACAGCCTCTTCTTTCCTTGTTCCAAATTCCTAAATAGCCAGAGTTGAAATCCACACATCTTAAAGCTGCCAAGTTAAGAAACACAGCTCTATGTTTTCACCATAGTTCCTATCATCCTTCTGTTGTATGGTCCAGGGTGACCATCACAGTCTAAATGTCAGCATCTAGTCTTAATTTTCGCCCTGCTGCTCCAGAGCTGAGCAAAGAGATAAAGAATGAAGAAGATCACTTGGGCAGGCAGTTTCTTGGTCAACTTTGGTGATACCACCATCTGTTGTGGTCCGTCGGCAGCCTGCAGAGCTGGCAGCAGAGTCGGACAGTGAGGAGGCTGGGGAGGAACATGGGCCAGTCCTGGAGTCTGGGGAAGGCTCGGACGAGGGCTCTGCGTCAGAGGCAGAGATGGGGCCAGGGCCATCTGGGAGTTATGTGCTGACTCCGGAGCCTCCAGAGTCTGACATCAGCGAGGCAGAGGAACAGGGGGAGCCTGTTCCCAGTGCGCGCATGCGCAGAGCTGCCAGAAGGCAAGAACAGTTAAGACAAAAGGGGCAACTCAGGAGTAAGGCTTGGAAATGATTGGCCCCTCCCATAAGACATAAAGAAGGAGCAAAGGCATGTGAGCCTTTGCAGGAAGCAACTTTGTTCATGCTGGTCGGTTTAAATTCTGAAGCTCCGTTTTCTCTCTGTGCTCCGTGCAAAGCTAATTGCCAATTAGATCTTTGGCAGCGTGTCAAGGGAGATAAAGGTGGGTGCTTATCAGCCTTATCCTGAAGGACTGTGGCAGACTTCTGTCGGACTCTTTACAAACTATTTGCTGTGAATGAACAGAATTCACAGCCATTGAAATAAAAAGAGGGGTTCTGGGACTAATATTGTGCTTTTTACTGTCTCAGGAAGCTTAGCTCAGAACATCATCCTCAAACTATTGAAGGGAATTCAGAAGGGCACTTACGTATCTCCAGATTTGCGATAATTCTCCGGGCATTCCAGAGAAAGGCAGCGGAATCCTCCCTGAATATTAAAGCAGGTCTGGTTATGTGAACAGGTATGCGTTTCAGTAAGACATTCATCGATATCTAGAAAAGGGAGAAAGAGACAGAAAGAGCAGGAAAGAGAAGTTAACTGGGGTGCTCTAGCAAGAAACTGTTGATATTAACAGCAGCAAACTGTGATTGGGGGATCCATTTACATTCATGTAAATTGAAGGCTCTTCTGCGTAAAACCTCTTCCATCCCCATTGGCTGGGGGGGGGGTTGAGGGACCAATTTAAAGGAAATGAACTTTAATCCAAACAGCTTGGCAGCTGTTTTACCATTGAACAGAACTATTTCAGCTGCTTTTACATACCTGTTTCTTGCTTGGTACAGGTAATCCTCATTTAGCAACCATTAACGAAAATGGTTGCTAAGTGAAACCACAATTGTGCTTATGCTCTCACTTTTAAGCTTTCCTTTGCTTTACAGATCTGCAAATATTGTACATCTGACGGCTGTAGCCAGGGGGATTTTTTGTCAGGTTCGCCTGATCCGCCAGTTGCGGCCCTTTCTTGATCGGGATTCCCTGTGCACAGTCACTCACACCCTCGTCACCTCTCACCTGGACTACTGCAACACTCTCTACATGGGGCTCCCCTTGAAGGGCACCCGGAGGCTCCAACTGGTCCAGAATGCGGCCGCGCGGGTAGTTATGGGAGCTGCATGGCGCTCCCATACAACACCTCTCCTGCATGAGCTGCACTGGCTCCCAGTGGTCTTCCGGGTGCGCTTCAAGGTGTTGGTTATCACCTTTAAAGCGCTCCATGGCATAGGACCTAGATATCTTCGAGACCGCCTGCTGCTACCGACGGCCTCCCATCGACCTGTGCGCTCCCACAGAGAGGGCCTCCTCGGGGTGCCTTCAGCCAAAGAATGTAGGCTGATGACCCCCAGGGGGAGGGCCTTCCCTGTGGGGGCACCTATCCTCTGGAACCAGCTACCCCCAGAGATAAGGAGAATCCAAGACCTCGGTATCTTCCGCCGTGCCCTTAAAACTTTCTTTTTTCAGCAAGCCGGGCTGGCCTAACACTTTTTAAAATGTTTTTAATTGTTTTGTCATTGCTTTTAATTATGCGGCCAAATATATATATATCATTTTAATTGTATTTTAATGTTTGTATTTTATGTTTTTACTTTGGTTGTACACCGCCCTGAGTCCTCAGGGAGAAGGGCGGTATATAAATTTGATATAAAATAAAATAAAATAAATTGTAAATGTCATTTGGTTGTAAGTTTGTTTGTTTGTTTTTTGTCACTGTCATAATTGCAAACAGTCACCGCTAACCAAGAAATAGAAGGTTTGTCATTCTACTGCCTCATTTATAACATTGTGATTTCCATTTTTATTTTTTTGGGGGGGTAGTAAGGCATTAATAACTAACAAGCTTGCAGAAATGAAGAATATATGCAGTTCAGGATTGGGTTGCTGCTGTTCTCGGAGATTGGCTGTTCTTGTGGATGTTTCATTATTTTTCTTAAGGACATCATCGGGAACATCAAATGCAAAATGCTGTGGGACTGAGATTTAAGGAGACGCTGCGGGAACAAATGCTGAATTCATGGAGTTTTGTGTGTGGTTGCCGAAGTTTGGAGTCTCCTGGACTTCTTGCTTTACTTCTTGCTCCCTGGATTAATTGCCTTGTTCTTTTGCTTCCTGGACTCATTGACTTATTCCCTTGCCCTGCTGGATTTCTTGCTTTGCAGCCGTTGTGTTCACAATGTTTTGCTGAACTACTTGTAGCCAGAGGCTGATGGAGGTGTATTTGTGTGTGTGTGATCACTTTGCTCTGGGACTTGCCATAAATGTGGGAGCGTTTGGGGGACAGTTGGAGCAATAAAGGGGTGATATTCTGTCCCCATACCACACACGCACCCCCACAGATGGCCCGGAGTTAGTAAGTCACATGACAACACTCTTTGAAGATAAAGCTGGTAGCAACCCAGTGGCTAGCTGCCAATTCAGACTTTACTCACACAAAACAAAGATTAGACTGCAAGCATTTCGATAAAACAGGCAGAGTGTCAACAATACAAGGATTAATCCAAATGCAGTCCGATAAAGCAGGCCAAGTCCAGTAATGCAGAGATCATGGAGTATTTCCAGTTTTTGCTCGTCACCACACCCACATTTATACCCTGTGGGGTGTGGTCCAGTGACTCAGTTAATCTCTGGCACGCCTTCCCTTCTGCTGTGCACGCTTCTCCCTGCGCCTCTGTCGCGGGTCCAGCCAGCACTTATCTTCTTTGTCGCTGTCCACCTGTGGCTGCGGGGACGTGCTTGGCTCTGAGTCTATCGTTTGGCCTTCGGTGTCCTCCAGAGGCATTGCCAGAGAGGAGGGTCCTGGAGAGGGAGGCCTTGCCAACTCCTCTCCCTCACTCTCAGAGTCTGCATCTGTCGATAGCCCAGGCTCAGGCAACGGAGCCACAACAGGCGATTTGAACTATCAGCTGATTGTGTTGCCTCTTGTGTCTTGTCCTGGGTCATCACACATATAAAGCCACTGCTGTGTCTCTCCATCTCAGTGACTACAAGCTAAAACTTCTGGTAATGGTGGAAGTTGGAGATCCCTGCCAATCCGCAGGATATCCAGAGATAGCCAGTCAATCCTGACTCAAAACGGGAACTGGGGTTCTTGGATTTTTTAATTAAAATCGCTTTTGCAGCCTGAATTTCTGAGACTCACCCTGACAGTTCCGTGCATTGGCGGCCAGCTTGTAACCTGAAGGGGGGCAGGTGCACTGAAAACTGCCTGCCACGTTGATGCACCGATAAGCACAAATGTGTCCCCCCGTTGGTAAAGCACATTCATCAATATCTGAAAATCAAAAAATAGAAAGAAGTCTTAATGGTAAATCCCAATGGTGGGTTTTAAGCCACCCGGTACTAGAGGCTTTGATATCCCAAATAAATAACCCAAGGTCCTTTTTCCTAATCTGGTATCCTCCAATCATTTTGAATCACAGTTCCCAAAATGTTATTCACCTGGAAACCAGGTTAGGGAGAAAGTAGACCAGGAACACAAAACCACATTTTGTCTGAAAATCTCTAAATATCCTATTTCGCTCAATTCCAGTGCCCTCAGGCTAGGTTTAAACGACATAACTCTTAAGGATCGGGTAGTCATAGCATTTGTATGTATTTGTTTATCTATTTTGTGGTTTCGCGTATTATGTAAATCTATCACCTTTCCTTAGTGCTGTTAGAATTTCCACTTTTTCTTGTGTTCCTCTGCAAAAAATGTTTTTACAGATGTCTTAATCTGAACACTAGGTAAAGGTAAAGGTTTTCCTCACACATATGTGCTAGTCGTTCCTGACTCTAGGGGGCGGTGCTCATCTCCATTTCAAAGCTGAAGAGCCAGTGCTGTCTGAAGACGTCTCTGTGGTCATGTGGCTGGCATGACTCAACGCCAAAGGCACACGGAATGCTGTTACCTTCCCATCAAAGTGGTCCCTATTTTTCTACTTGCATTTTTTTTCGTGCTTTCGAACTGCTAGGTTGGCAGAAGCTGGGACAAGTAACGGGAGCTCACCCCGCTATGCGGCACTAGGGATTCGAACTGCTGAACTGCCGACCTTTCGATCAACAAGCTCAGCGTCTTAGCCCCTGAGCCACCGCATCCCTAATTTCTTAATTAATTAATAGTCCCTAATCTGAATGCTACACGGTGTATAAAAGTGCTTTTGAGCTGTTCATGCTGTTTCTTATGCTTCATTTAAAGGAAACAAAACTTTGTACACTTCCATACTTAGGAAAATTGGCCCAACCTAATGGGATGGTTCGCAATATATACCTTTTCTGATTTTACTGTTATATTTTTGCTTGTATTTCATCATATCCTCTAGTTGTTCTGTTTACCCATTATATCAGTGTTTCTGAAACCGTGACAACTTTAAGATGTGTGGATTTCAACTCCAAGAATTTCCCAGGGTGCCTTGCTGGCTGCGGAATTCTGGGAGTTGAAGTCCATACATCTTCAGAAACACTGCATGAATGGAGTTTAAAGTTCAAATAGAGCCCATTGTAAATTTCTGAATGGGACTGGAAGATCTATCGTTTCTCCAGATGATGATCAATGAAGCCATACCAACCTGCATCGCTGGCCAGTGATATGTACACTTGGTGTAAATAAATGCTAAGGACAAGATTGTGTTCTTTGGGTGGAACTGTGCATGGAATTCCATTTCCATGCGCATTTTCCTGAGGTACCATGAGCTCTTAGAGAGAAGTTGCCAACCTCAACCGCCCTATCAAGCCAGGCAGATTGATGGAGTGAAATCACTGTCTAAACCTTGTCATGAAAAGGGCAGGCAATGATGGCCACTCACCTTCACAGTTCACCCCATCTATATCACTGAGCTGGTAGCCGCGACGGCAATAGCACTGGTAGGAGCCATAGACATTGGCACACTCCTGGCTGCAGGGGCTGCTTTCACACTCATTTAAGTCTGAAACCCACAAATACGTATCAATACGACACAAGATTCTTTCCATTCATACCCTACTTTGCTTCAAAGGCCGCCCTCACCCTGTTGATTTTATCCATGTGAAACCCCAGCAAATATTGGTTTGAATCTAGTTTGGTCCTCATCTGAGCTTCCAATTTCTACGCTCCCAGAGTAAGTTTAAAATCCTATAGCCTCTTTTTGATGGATTAGCTCCATTAAACTCTAAAATTGGGAGGGCCCCTAATTCTCTGGAGTCCAGGCTCTGTTGGACACATCCAAGGAAGAGGTGTCCATCACCATTGTTGAACTGATTTTGGGATTTTTTCCCCTGATACATAATCAGAACCTGCCATTCTGTAACTTACCATATTTTTTGGAGTATAAGACGCACCTTTTTCCCCCAAAGAAGAGGGTGAAAATCTGGGTGCGTCTTATACTCCGAATGTAGCTCCGCCCAACATCAGAAACAGAGATTTCAGAGGCTGAAAGAAGCCTCTGAAAGAAGCTTCAGAAAAAAAGCCTCAGAAACGAAGCTTCAGAAAAAAAGCCTCTGAAAGGCTTTTATCTAAAATAATATGGCAGGCAACAAAAGAAGAATCAGTAAAGGTTCTAACCAAACTTTGCTAACAAATCTGGAGAATGACACAATAACCAAGAGATCAGAAGAGGTTAATCTACATACCAATACCAAAGAAAGGAGATTGAACAGAATAAAAGCCTCTGAAAGAAGCTTCAGAAAAAAAGCCTCCAAACAGAGCTTCAGAAAAAAAAGCTGTTTCTGAAGCTCTATTTCGAAGGCTTTCAGAGGCAGAAAAAAAAGTTTTTCCGGAAATGGAGTTTCAGAAGTTTCAGAGGCAGGGAAAAAAAGCAAGGCACAGAGCTCCCAACCAACGAACCTGCTGCTAAAATTCACCTCTGGAAACAGCTGATTGGGGGTATTCAGGGAGGCCGATCCACCCACCAATCAGCTTTTTTCTTATTTTCCTCCCCAAAAACTAAGGTGCATCTTATACTCCGAAAAATACGGTAAATATCCATTATAGGTAGTCCTCGGCTTAAAACAGTTGCCTAGCGACTATTCAGAGTTATGATGAATTTGCCAAAAGGTGCCTGGATTCAAAGTTGTGATGTCTGGACTACTACCACCACCATCCCAGTCACATGACCAAATTTTGGGTAGTCAGCAACTTGCCCATACTTATGGCCTTTTGCAGCATTCCACAGTCATACGACCATGATTTACATTCCAGTTTCTGGCAAGAAATGTCCCTAGAAAACCATGGGTTTGCTGATTTTATGGCCACAGAAACAGTCATAAAATCAGATGTGGTCATGCAGGCATCCCTATCAGATATCGGGAGAGGCCTTTCATGTCCTGTCTCACTTGCCTTCTCTCAAGACTAAACCCACTCAACTTTTCCAGCCACTCTTCATACAACGTGTTTTAGATTCCCCAAGTCCTCCTTCTCATCCTGCCCTTCACCTCTCCCTATTTTTCTGAATCCATTGGAAAGTTTGGTGCACAGATAAGACACATCGTTCAAGGTGGGGGGTCTAACCAAAGCAGAATCAAGTTGAATGGTTACTTCCTGGAATTCAGAAATGTTTCTTCTACTCATACAGCCTACAAGTGTATTGGCCTTCTCTGTAACTGCATAACCAGAGGTGGGGCTGCTGGGGGTTCGCAGGGGTTTGGGAGAACCTCTAGCTAAGATTCTGTGCAGTTCGGAGAACCCCCAAATCCCACTCTTGGCTGGCCCCACCTACGCCTCTGCTCCCATCCCAGGAGTTCCTATGCGGCCTGTTTTGGATGCAGGTAAGTGCAGGGCGTGCACGGAGGCTCAGGGAGGGTGAAAAATGGGCCTATCGGAAGTGAGGGAAGGCCAGAAATGGGCCCATTTCCAGCCTCCAGAAGGATTCCAGAGCCTGGGGAGGCCGTTTTCGCCCTCCTGGAGGCTCAAGGAAAGCCTCCGGAGTCCAGGGAGGGCAAAAATGCCCCCCCCCATGGTGCAGGAGGCCGACTGGGCCACGTCCACCATGGCCACACCCACCCAGCAACCGGGCAGAGAACCCCTTGCTAAAATTTTTGAAGCCCACCCCTGTGCATAACACAACTTGCTCATGTAGCTAAATGTGTTCTCTCTCTTTCTCTCCCTCTCCAACCCTCTCTTTCTCTCTCTCATTGATTCATAGCACCTTACCATCACAAGATCTCTCGTCAGATGAAAGTTTGAATCCCATTGTACAGCTACAATAATATGACCCAGCAGTATTTTCACACTTATGAGCACAGAGACGACCAGGGTATCGGCGACATTCATTAACATCTGAGGAGAGGTATAAATAAGATGGTAACTGTTAGTATTATGATGATGTGGATAATTACCATCTTTAGAGCGCTCAATGGCATCGGACCGGGGTATTTACGAGACTGCCTTCTGCTACCAATAGCCTCTCACCGACCAGTACGCTCCCATAGAGAAGGGCTTCTCAGGGTGCCGTCAGCCAAACAGTGTCGACTGGCGGAGAGCCTTCTCTGTGGGGGCACCTACCATCTGGAACGAGCTCCCCTCCCCGGAGATACGGAGGATCCTGGATCTGCACACGTTTCGTCGTGCTCTCAAAACATTTTTATTTCAGCAGGCTGGCCTGGCCGAACTCTCCCTTTTAAATTTTTAAATCATTTAATCTGTTTTATAAATTGGGTGTTTTAAATTTGTTTTCGGCCAAAATATTTAATAATTTTAATGGACTTTTAATGTTTGTATTATCTGTATTTTATCTTGGCTGTTCACCGCCCTGAGTCCCCCAGGAGTAGGGCGGTATAGAAATTTGATAAATAAATAAATAAATAAATAAATTATGCTTAATGTTATTACTGTACTTTTACTAGAAGATACGTTAAGAGGAAAAATGAATAGGTTTATAAAGTTCAATTGTTTAACATACTATAATTTTCAGATTAAAGAATGAATATTAATGTGAATCATGTTGTACATGCTGAAGGCTGTTGCACAGAGATATCTATACCCAAACAACACACTGTTTAAGGAAAGATGGAATGTTTATATTTTGAAAAATAAAAAAATAAAACACTTTTTATAAAAAAAAAAAAATCCAAGGAGATGAATAAACCATGGTCAACTTTTTTTGCACCTAGATAGCAAAATTGGGTGTCTTCAAACATAATTTCTCCATGTCATCTGAACCATCATGTTACATTGACTTAACTCCCACTTAAATGCAATGTGCACTTTTCAAAGGGCAGCAAGATATCGGATCCACAAATATGACTATAATATGGGATCATTCTGAAAAGAGGCTTGTGGGGGGGGGGGCAGGAGGTGGCTATAACGAAGCAAAACATATGGCTCCTTGCTTATTTTCCAGCCAATTCTCATAGGGACAAACAGGAAACCCATAATAACGTACTATTTCCAAACAGATGCATATAGCCCAGGGGTGAAATGCTCCCGGTTCAGACCGGATCACCGATCCGGTAGCGATGGCGGTGGGTGGTTCGGAGAACCGGGAGCAAAAATCCCTGTGCCACCCCATGCCCAGCTGAGCCGCGCAATCATCAGAGGCTGTTTTTTTTACTTTTAAAAGCATTTTTTCTACAACCTCTTCGGCCGAAAAAAATGCTTTTAAAAGTTAAAGAAAAAAGCCTCTGATGATCGCGCAGCTCAGCTGGGATCGTTAGAGGCTTTTAAAAGCATTTTTTCTACAATCTCTTCGGCCGAAGATGTTGTAGGGAAAAAAATGCTTTTAAAAGCCTCTGACGATCCCAGCTGCGTTGCCTGATTGTCAGAGGCTTTTAAAAGCATTTTTTCCTGCAACCTCTGGGGTTGTAGAAAAAATGCTTTTAAAAGTAAAAAAACAAGTTGGCCATGCCGACCCAGTCACATTACCCCCCCCCACCAAGCCACGCCCACAGAACTGGTAGTAACGAATTTTACATTTCACCACTGATATATCCTGATTCCTACCATGTCGTAAGACAAAAATAACCCTACCTGGCTAGTCCAACATCTTGAAACACAACCACTGCATACAGCAAAGCTGACAACCAAATACCCATTGATGGGCTTTCTGCTCAGTTGGTTTTGTCCATGCTCGATGAACCTCACAGGTGACCCCCGGTTCTTACCTGTACAAGTTCTGCTGATCCCATCAAAATAGTAGCCCAGCTGACACTGACAACGATAGCTCCCGGGGGAGTTGATGCAGGTGTGACCTTCCCCGCAAGGTTGGGGGGACCCTGAACACTCGTCTACATCTTGGGGAAGGGAAAAGAAAGGTTTGAAAAATCATGGGAGAGGAAGGTCATCAAGCAATGTATACAAATTTGGATGATGATGATGGCGATGATACAAAGAAAAGCAAAACCAACTGGGAGGGAGGGAAACCAAGTCAATGTGCAATGACCTGGGGCTAATTCTGCATGACCTTCATAGTTTTCATTCTTTCCAGCCTAGTGGAATGCTAGAAAGTAAGTATAGATCCATGATAGCGAACCTATGGCACATGTGCCACAGGTGGCACACGTAGCCATATCAGTGGGCACGCCAGCTCAGCTCCCCTTCTAGACCACCAGAAGTAGGGAAACAGGCTGTTTCCTGCCTCTGGAGGGGCGGGGGGCGCGGAGGCCTGTTTTTCTTTCTCACCTGGCTCCAGATCCTCTCTATGCATCTGGGGAGGGCAAAAACAGCTTTCCCCAACCCCTCGGAGGCCCCGGGGAGGCCCAAAATGGCCTGTTTCCCAACTTCTGGTTGGGCAGGAAGTGACATTTTTTGCTGTGCCCAGCCTCCAGAGACTCCTAGAGAGGGTCTGGAAGCTGTGGACAGCAAAAAGCGTCACTTCCTGTCTAACTAGAAGTTGGGAAACAGGCCATTTTGGGCCTCTGGAGGGCCTCCGAGGGGATGGGGAAGACTGTTTTCGCCCTTTCCAGATGCATAGAGAGGATCTGGAGCCAGGTGAGAAAGAAAAACAGGCCTACCAGGCCATCGCGTGCCAGGAGTGGAGGGGGAGGGGGTCTCGCGCACATGCGCAGAGTGGAGCACATAGAATTATAGGTGGGCACGGACGCACGCATGCACACAAACCTTCACCCGCCCCTCCTCCTGGCACGCGATGGCAGAAAGGTTAGCCATCCTTGGTATAGATAGTCCTCGACTTACAACAGTTTATTTATTGACTGTTCAAAGTTACAACAGCCATGAAAAAAGTTACTTATCGTTTCTAACACTTACAACCATTGTGGCATCCCCAATTAGGGCGTGTCTAATTTTTCAACTTTCAATTTCCAAGCATGAGGGGTGCTCAAAAGTTGTGACCTGCCTTGGGGATTGTAAAGATATTTTGGTTACTTTAATATAATTTAGATGTGCTTGGTAAGTAACTATATAACTATAACATTTTGTTTGATTCATTTGGTCACATGATCAAAATTCAGATGCTTGGCAACTGACTCATATTTATGACAGTTCCAATGTCCAGGGATCATGTGACTCCCCTTTTGCAACCTTCTGCCAAGCAAAGTTAACGGGGAAGCCAGATTCACTTAACAACCTTGTTACTCATTGAACAACTGCAGTGATTCACTTAACAACGGTGAATATACTTTCTACTACCGCTAGAAGAAAGCCATGTTAGAGGTACTAGAAAGAACCTGGTAGCACCTTTTTAAAGAGTAACCCATTTACAAACATTTGCAAATTTACAAAGCCCTATGCCTTAAAACATTTTTTTTTTAGTCTTGAAAAATCAGCTCTTTCTGATTTGTAGATCTCTTTTTTTTTTTAATACTCACAGAATTGAATTTAGGGATCATCATCCCAGGGCCATTATTTACATAAGAGGGAGAGGAAAAATATTTCGTTTTTAAATTAATACTCTTATCTTTTATTCCAACAGAGTGATTAAACTGGTTGTAGAATGAATAAAAATGAAGCAGAATTCTAAATAGAATGTACTGGTAAATAGTAATACCTAAAGTGCTCACCATATAGTATATTACCATCGGGGTGGGATTCTACCAGTTCAGACCGGTTCGGGTGAACTGGTAGTTCCGACGATCAGCTGGGAGCAAACGGGTTCATTCCGATGATCAGGTGGGCCCACCTGCCCGCCCCTGCGCTTTACTGACCTATATCTTCTCAGCTGATTCCCGCGGCAGAGCGGATTGCTGTGTTACTCCCCAGCAGTAACGCGGAAGGTAAGTTTTCGTAAAACTGTGCACATGCGCAAAGAGCGCGATCACCAAACTGGTTGTTAAACTGGCAGGATCCCACCACTGATTACCATCAATAATAAAGAATTCAATCCAGCCCAACAGAGAAATCGATTTAAAGTATGAATATTGAATTGTTTTCACTTAGAAAGCAACGGGGGTCAAGATAAAGAATTCCCGACCCCTTTACCAGGAAAATCATGCCGCTTCACCAAAGATATGAAAAAAGGAGCATCACCAAAAAATAGTCAATATAATCTTAAAACAGCTGTTTGTATTTTGGCCATGAAATGGGAAACAATGTGAGTAGAAAAACGAACAGGTGGGTTAAAAATCACGCACTATACTGCAAATTGAACCTGGATAGCTCAACAGACTAAAAGCCTGTTATTAACATTTAGCTGTCTGCAATTATTGCAAGTTCAAATCTCTCCAAGGCTCAAGGTTGACTCAGCCTTCCATCCTTTCTAAGGTAGGTAAATTGAGGACCCAGTTTGTGGGGGCAATAAACTGACTTTGTATAAAATATACAAAAGTATAAAATATACAAAAGTATGAAGGCTATTGCTTAACGCATTGTAAGCCGCCCTGAGTCTCCGGAGAAGGGCGGCATATAAATCTAATAATAATTTAAAAAAAAATCAGCAAAATTTCTGCGGACATGGTCAATATTCACTTGTCTGTGAGCCGAGTTTCTTAAATTAAAGCTAGCAGGCCTTTTCCTTGAGCACAGAGAGCTCAGAGGTTTAGAGAGAGACTATAAAAAGCAGGAATGCTTCTACAATTAGGGGCTTTTGGTGGTCAGGATTTTCCTGGATTTCCTTCTGAAATATTCAGATACTTCATTTTGCCTCCTTGGAGAAGCTAACCTTGTTGAGTCCGCAACTCAAATATTACAACACTTCCTGGATTCTTTAAAAAAATAATAAAAAAAAACCTTGGAGGTTTTAGATCATTTCTATCTTGAAATGGAATGTTTGGAGCTCACCAGAGAAACAGAAGGAAAAAATGACTAACGGGAAAATATTAAAGCTTTGCAAGGAATGCAAAGTTAAGAATTTCATTGTGCAATACATAATTCATATGAGGCTCTGTAATGAAATTACAGTGGTTCAGAATCCATTCTTTTTCTATGTTTTCATTAGGGATGGGCTGCTGGCGGTTCGCAGAGGTTCAGGAGAACCACTAGCTAAGATTCTGTGCAGTTCGGAGAACCCCCAAATCCCATTCTTGGCTGGCCCTGCCCACCCCACCCTGCCCCTCCCAGGAGTTCCCAAGCAGCCCGTTTTGGATGCAGGTAAGTGCAAGGCGGGCGTGAAGGCTCAGGGAGGGTGAAAAATGGGCCAACTGGAAATTCTGGAAGGCCAGAAAATGGCCCGCTTTCAGCCTCTAGAGGGCCTCCGGAGCCTGGGGAGGCCATTTTTGCCCTCCCCAGAGGCTCAAGGAAAGCCTCCGGAGCCCAGGGAGGGCAAAAATGCTGCCCCCGCTGCTGTGGTGCAAGAGGCCAACTAGGCTACGCCCACCATGGCCACGCCCACCAGCAACCGGGCAGAGAACCCCTTGCTAAAATTTTTGAAGCCCACCCCTGGTTTTCATTATCTCCAAACATCCCAAGGGAGACGTGCCTTCCCTGTCAGATGGTCCCAGTTCCAACTCCTCTTCCTCCTCTGAATCGAGCTCTGATGGGGCTGGCTAGTGGTTAATATCTTCCGCAGCAATACCACAATTTCTCTTAGAAATCTCAGCCAGGACCCAATCACGTCCTTCGGAAGCAGGAAGGGGGAACCCCAAAGCATGGGTCCCCCATTCATCACCAAAACATCCGGTAGGTTTGTACACAAGATGGATGACCAAAACATGGCCACCTTTTTTTGACGTTTGCTGTGAAGAAGGCAAACTCTCTCTTCCACGGTTAGAGAATCCACGGTAGTCCTTAAGCACCCACTTTCCTCTGCTACTACTCTCTTCCAATATAGCCGACCCCACCCCACCCAACTGAGAGGTGACAAACCGATCCTCCAGGTTCTGGGAAGCCCAATATGGAGGCCGTGGAAAATAATACGTCTCGCTTCCCATCCCTGATGTAAGTTAAGCAGATGTCATGCTACTAATGTTATCATGGCTGCCATTGCTCAAAGAACACATTGGCAAAAAGGGCCCAGCAAAAGCAAAATGGCTCTCCCACTGCTGCCACCACCTGGATCTCCTCCTGTGATGATATCCAGCACTGCTACATTTATTTATTCATTTAGCGTATGGTTGGTCACACACAGTATTAAAACACTTCATTTTTACAGGTTAAAAACAATAAAAACAATTTAAAAAAACAGTAAGAAAACCTAAAAGGAAAACAGAAATAACATTTCAAAGTTTAATGTCGAGTTTGGAGATCCAGTCAGTAGCTGCCGTTGTTATGCAGAGGAAGTCCCTAGAATCTCCTGGATACCTTCTGTTAGGGCATTCCCTCACTATATGCTGGATAGTCTGTCGAGGGGCCCCGCAATCACATTGTGCTGAAGGTGTCTTTCCCCATTTATACAGGGAGTCAGCACACACCCCATGAGTTGTTCTAATTGTATTATATGTCACCCATATGTGTCGGGGTAGGCTAAATCCTGGAGGTATACTACTAGGACTGATATGCTCGGAGACATCTTGGGGGAACAGCTATTCCATGCCTCCATCCACTTTTGTGTGGTGTTCTGATGATCGGCCATCAACTTACGCGCTGTCAAGATTGGTGGATTTCTTGACTTTAATCGACATCTTAAGAGATCAGGAATGTATCCATGTATGGGTAGAGAGGAATTTAATAGGATCTTAGTATACTCCCGAATGAGAGCTTCTTGTCGTCGTAAGTGCGGGGGGAGTATGTGACTAAGAACTGGTAACCAGTAACTAGGTGTAGATTTTATGCACCCAGTAATTAGCCTCATCGTATGGTTAAGTTGAACATCAATAAGTCCTGTATGTGAGCTGTTTATCCATACAGGTGCACAGTATTTCCGCTGCAGAGTAGCAAAGCCCGAGGGCTGCACATCGGAGAGTTGGGGCTGAAGCTCCCCAAGTTGTTCCGCATAGTTTTTGTAGGATGTTATTTCTGCTGTTAACCTTGGCAGCCATATTCTGGATGTGTTTCTTAAAGCACTGCTACAATGTCCACCTAACCATCAGCTGGAACCACATCCAGCCAGTGGTTCTCCTTCTCCAGAGGGGGCTCAACGTAATTCCTGCCAGCAATAGAAATTCATGGGGAAAATGGCCCCATTGCAAGTTTGCTTCCATGTAGCAAATAGCCTGAGAAGAGCAAAGCATATTCAGTCCAGAGTACAATAAAAAAAAACCCCAAAAAACTAAGTTAAAAGCAGCAAGGAAGTTCACAAGCCGACCAATCAACACATTCCTCATCTCAAAAACACACAAAACCCTCCGCGACTTATAAAAACACTTTCTGTCACATACCAATTTGTCAGAATATTCATGACTGGGAAGACACGGTAACAAGGTCAGCCAATGAATAGGCACAGCAACTAAGTCAGCCAATGGGAGCTGAAACAAGTTTGGAGTCTGGGTGTGTCTCAGCTCTGAGTCTGTGCAAAAAGGAAATTGAAACCAGTCTGGACTTGTCTGCTCTGAACTCTGAACTGAAAACTGATCTCTCCTCTCTACCACATTGGAAGAATTGGCTATTGGTATTGTACATTTATTCATGTGTTATTATGTATATAAAGAAGTTAATGAATCCTGTTGAATCAGTTATCTGTGCGTGCTTTCTGGAAGTGATTTCTGCAACAAGCTCTGAAAAAGTTCTTCCATTCATACTTCCACCCGCGTTACACAACCACCAACTCTCACTGACATCTTGCCACCTATAGTTGGTTGGTTTACTGAATGTCACCTTCGTAGCCCCTAAAACCTTCTTCTCAGCATAGTTGTGAAGGTAGAAATGAAGGATGTCAACAGAAGAGACATAGAAGCAAAACATCAGAATAAATGTGGGTGGGTGGGGGATGAAACATGGCTATCTCGGTACTGACCAACACATCTGGTCTTCTCTTCGTTCAGGTGGTAGCCTCTTCCACAGTTTGGGACATTCCTCTGGCAAGCAAACGAGCCATCTGTGTTGATGCAGGCCTGCCCAGCAGGACAAGGAGCAGGAAGAGTCAAACATTCATTAATATCTGCAAAAATACAGCCAGGCATTTAAAAGGAAGAGGTGAGACCGAAGAAAGAAAGAACGAAATAATTCTACAATCCGTTGCTGAAAACATTACTTGGAAATTCAAAACACCTTCAGTGGGGATAACTTCATAAGTGGAGGGTAGCTCACAAATATGAGCTAGGATCAAAAAACTCAAAATGGCTACGGCAAAAAAACAACAACCGCCCTCCAGATGGTGGCTGGATTTTAGGTGTGCTATACCCACCATCTGGAGTTTTTTGACCATAGCTCGAGTTAGACCCCTAGTAGTGTAAGCAGCAGAGGAGGTTCAGCTGCATGCCTTACCGATACAGTTGCCGAAAGCATCTTGTATAAAGCCGATCTTACACTGTTGTTTGGGCCGGCAACGGAATGATCCTGGCGTATTCTGACAGATAAAATCGGGGAGGCAGTTATGAATACCAGTCTCACATTCGTCAATATCTGGCACATCACAAAAGAAAGAAGGAGTTAGCGTGAGGTCTCCCGGAGCCGTCTTGTCACGACCGAGATAAAAGCAGTTGTTGAGTTGACAGATTAAACCTATATCTAAACCAATTCAATGTGTCATTGGAAACCTGGCCTGGAAGTTCTGTAAAGGGGTAAAGGCAGAGATTGGCTGCTGGAGGTTCACAGGGGTTCGGGAGAACCTCTAGCTAATATTCTGTGCAGTTTGGAGAATCCCCAAATCCCACCCCTGGCTAGCCCCGCCCACCCTGCCCCGCCCCGCCCACCCTTCCCCGCCCCTCCCAGGAGTCCCCACGCGGCCTATTTTGGATGCAGGTAAGATCCAGGGCGAGTGGGCGGCCCACCCGCAGGTCGCTATTACGGGTACAGGTGAACCGGTCTGAACCGGCTGAATACCACCTCTGACTCTGATCATTCAAGTGAACGTCTCAAAAAGCCCATTCAGGTGCTCTGAGTCAGCCACCAAAACATTTCCACTCCCCACTTTCTTAGTACAAGGGTCTCTTGGCTTTATGGATATGGAGGAAGACCAAAGCCTGATTGTTTCCTCCGGAGGGAAGGCCAAGATCGGCCCTTATGAGAAAAATGGACAAGCCTTTCACACCTGGGGAGGTTCAAGCAATATTGAGAGGACACAGAAAGGAACCCATTTGGGACTTAAAAGCAATTTGCTGAAATTTGGCTGGAGTGGGATCAGGTGTACATTTCCTGCAAAGCTGCCCACCCTCCAAGGAGGCTCTGCCTCTCCGTTATACTAGCGCTGCCAAATATTTACTACAGATTAATGGCTCTTTGCAGCATTAAAGGAGTCAGTTTGTAAACACAGATGCTTCTGTCTCTCAGGAACCCCAAGACATCTGCAGGAGGATACCCTCTTCTCCCCCCCCCCCCCCCCCGAACAATGAAGATGGCAGTCATGTCTTTTTCAAACTCTCCTGCAGATAATTGGGACAGTAGATTCAAATCCCGTCGCTACCAGTTCGTGAGTGGGTGAGTGGGCGCTCGTGCACGTGCACAACACTTCGCAGAGATGTCCGGGCGGGTGGGCGGAGCCTCCCGCCACCGCTACCGGTTCTACCGCCACTACTGGTAGCAACCCACCACTGCTCTGGGAATGCTTGAAGACAAGCATCTACCCGTACTTTAATCACTGCAAACCTGAACTTACATTGGGCAAACATTGTACAAAGCTAATACTGTGGAGTTCAAGAGAGTAAAGATGGTTTACCATCTTGTAACGTTTCGCATTTTGATAAATCTCTGCCATTTCCGGGCAGTTGTGAATTGTGGGTGCTCCATCAATATAGAGGTTTTCAAAAATAGACTGGACAAACCATTTGACCAAGACAGTATAAGGTAACTCCTGCCTTGAGCAGGGGGTTGGACTAGAAGACCTCTGAGGTCCTTCCCAGCCCTATGATTCTATGTTCTACGTTCTAAAATGTACCTTTGCAGAGATTGTGCTCTGTCAGCTGATAACCTGTTCCACAACTCGTCTCCCGCTGACAACGGAAAGAGCCCACAGTATTGACACAGATCTGACCGATGCTGCAGGCATTGGCTGAAGTGATGCACTCATTAATATCTAGAAAGAATACAACCATTTTTGATGCAGCATACTATTTTTCTATAGGTCCTTGACTTACAACCACAACTGGGATCAGAATTTTGATTGCTAAGCAAGGCAGTTGTTAAGTAAGTCATGCCTGCTTTTGCAGCCTTTTTTGTCATAGTTGTTAAGGAATTCGCAGAGCAACCCTTGAGTAGCAAGGGTGTGCACATGAAAGCGATTGAGAGTAGTTACGAATTAAACACAGCCAACACACAGATACACTGAGTTGTGTTTACTTTCAGGAAATAGTAAGGCACAGTCCAATAAAAACTGTCCAGGTTATACACAGATAAAGCAGTACATAGTAAAACAATAGTCTAGGGATAATCTAATTAAAAAGTCTTCTTACCAGTTGTCATAGTCATACACAATAAACAGTTGCAAACAGTAGCAAACACAGCAAACAGCAAAGCGAGCCAAAGAGAAACAAACCATGTTTCTAGCTCCCTCTTAAAGACATTGGCTACAGAGCTAACCAATCAGGACACAGTATGATGCAATACAGCAGTACAGCAGTCTTAAAGCTATATTGGGGGTTTATATATTGCCAACCCAACAAGTTAGGTAAATTCATTTCCTAACAATAGTTATTAAGTGAAACGATGCAATTAAGCGACTCACATGTTTGTTAAGTGAATGTGGTTTCCCCCATTGACTTTGTATGTTGGAAACCAGCTGGGAAGGACATAAATAGTGATTATATGACCCTGGGGATGATGCTGCAACAAGTCATAAGTGGGAGGAGTGGCCATAAGTCATTTTTTCAGTGTAACTGTAGCTTTGAATGATTGCAAGTCAAGGACTTAGGGTTAAAAACATTTGTTGGCAATGATCAACATTTATGAATAGGTTCTCAGGGTAATAAGCACTTCTGAAATCATTGTTACATGAGAAAGAAATCTAAGTTGAAGAAAATTTGACAAAAGATCAAATTACTCTCGACTTAAAAGAATAATCAAGAAAGTTGGATTAAAACCAGAGCAGTGTTTTTTTAAACTTGGCAATGTTGAAATGTGTAGACTTCAACTTCCAGAATTCCTCAGCTAGCATGGAACGACTCAGAGTTGAAGTTCACACTTCTTAAAATTCCAAGTTTGAAAGACAATGACCTAGAACTGGGGTGTCAAACCCACGGCCTGTGGGCCGGATGCGTCAGTTCAGCTTTTCCGGAATGCGCCCCCAAGTGCACGTAGACACGAGCGATGTTTCCGCATGAGTGCCGAAAAGGCTCACCATCCCTGGTCTAGACACATTCATCCAAAATTTCTAAACAAACTCAAATGTGAAATCACTTATCTTGCAAAACATTATCCCTCAGATCAGCTGCAGCACAACTGAAACAGAGCATCCATTTCTAAAAAGAGATCAAAGGATGAGCCAGGAAATTACAGCCTGGTTAGTTTAATGTCCCTTTTGAGTAAAACAGTGGAAATCCCACAATCATCTTTTTGCTAAAGAAGAATCAAAGCCAGACCATCTGCAAAGATAATTCTTGCCTCCCTGGCTTTTAAAGTTGACAGAGTATCAACAGGAATACAGAGTCAAATAGTAAGCCTTTTTACTTGGCCTTCTAAACAGCCATTGATAAATGAATGCCTAAGCAAACTTAGCAATCAGGATGAACAAGAGGAAAGATTACAGAAAAACAGAAAGCAGAGAGCAAACATGTCTCAAAAAAGAAGGATGTAAACAATGGCATTTTTGAAGGTTCTGCCTTAGAAGTGGAGCTTTACAAGCAATCAGAGGCAATCTGGAATTAAACAGTGAAACTAGATAAGAATGAAAATCTTCCCTTTTCTTAACAATAATCCAGAAAGTTGAGTTAAACGGAGACTTTTGCTTACAATACCAAGTCCCTTAGAATGGCAAGCACAAGTCACAAGGTTGAAATACTGCAAAATTATTTTCCCAAACTGGGGAAAAAGACAAGAAAGCAAAAACTTCAGTTTAATATGGAGCCTGGTTTAGCTCAACAGACAGAAGCACTGTAATTTAACACCAGCTGTCTGCAATTAAAGTAAGATCGCATCTCGCCAGGCTCAAGGTTGACTCAGCCTTCCATCCTTTCTAAGATAGGTAAATTGAGGACCCAGTTTGTGGGGGCAATAAACTGACTTTGTATAAATATACAAAAGGATGAAGGCTATTGCTTAACGCACTGTAAGCCGCCCTGAGTCTCTGGAGAAGGGCGGCATATAAATCAAATTTTAAAAATAATAATAATAATAATAAAAAATATCACCCAATATAAACTATTGTGCACGGACAACAAGTATGATGAGGACATACAAAGGCAACTGCAGAGTGTGTATGTGTGTGTCAAAAACGCAAGATGGCAACCATGATTTAATGATCAAAATTCATGTTGAAAGAGGGAAAGGTGATGGTCATTATACAATAACATAGACTTATATACAGCTCCACAGTGCGTTAAAGCATTCACTGAGCAGTTTACAATGTCAGCATATTGCCCCCAACAATCTAGGTCCTCATTTTACCGACCATGGAAGGCTTGAGTCCTGTCAGGCTCGAACTTCAGACTGTGAGCAGAGTTAGCCTGCAATACTGCATTCTAAGCACTGCACCACCATCTTGGCTTTATTGACTTCCCTCCTTGAACATATACGTTGATTGGGTCTGAGCTAGTGCTGAAGGACCAGGAAAGAGATCTTAAGATAGTCAAATGAAAAAGGTGGACTTGGGGCTGGGTTCACAAATTAATTAGTGATTTCACCATGATTTACAGAATTAGGCATAATGGCTACATTTATAAACCTAAACCACAAACCATGGTTCAGAGATAATCATGGGCTGGTTCATGTTATCACTTCAAGCCCCACGGTGGATGTAGGGACAGGTGACATTGAAGGCTTTAAGAAAGTTATAAGTAGAATTGTCTTTAGAAATCTTTATGCAACTACAATTGCATACATAAACTGCTGCTACCGACGACCTCCCATCGTCCCATGCGCTCCCACAGAGAGGGCCTCCTCAGGGTGCCATCAGCCAATCAATGTAGGCTGGTGACTCCCAGGGGAAGGGCCTTCTCTGTGGGGGCACCTACCCTCTGGAATCAGTTGCTCCCAGAGATAAGGAGAATCCAAGATCTTAGTGCCTTCCGCCGTGCCCTTAAAACCCACTTTTTCCAGCAAGCCAGGCTGGCTTAAGAAGAAATTTTAAATGTTTTAATTGGTTTGTATTTTTAATTTTGGGCCAAATTTATATATATTTTAATTGTTTTTAATATTTGTATTTCATGTTTTTTTAATTCTGGCTGTACACCGCCCTGAGTCCTCAGGGAGAAGGGCGGTATATAAATTTAAAAATAAAAATAAAAAAAATTAGTTGCAGTAATTAAACCAGAAAAAGACATTATAGGGTTGGAAAAGTTATGAAAAATAATCAAGAGGTAATAGCCAAAACCACAATGTTCAGGATTTTTAGGTCAAAAAAGAAAGAGATGAGAAGAGATATGACAGTATAAGGTTATCTTCCTTTATAATCTTAGAAACAAGATCGTTCTATGAAGCTGAATAGGAGGAGATTTTAAATAATTATTCACTCAATAAGTAGCTAAACAATGGATATTGCACAACATGTTTTGTTAGCTTTAAAAGAGTATTAAACAATTCAATGGTGCATAAAGCTATCAGAATAGTGTATCTCTCCATAGGAAAAGCAGAAGGTATATATATAAGATGGTATTAATGAGCCAGTTAGGGTTTCTCAGCAACTTGTGATCACCGCACAATAGAAAGATTTGATCTGGAGAATCGATGGGTCATAAAAAGTCAAGTCATCCTTGAGTTGAACCAGACATGTAGTTTTGTAGAGTCTTCCCGGGTGTTTATGTGTCATGTCTATGTAGTTTTCTTGTGACACAGAAGAAGGTTGGCACCAGCTTCTTTGGGAATGTGTGTTCAGCTTATCAATCTATTTCCTGGTATTCCCCCATCCCAAATTAAACCTGCTTAGATTTTTCAAAAGAGCCAAGATATAAGGAGGGTTAATTAGTTAAAAATATCCAAAAAAATATATATAAGGAAATCAAATTTTTCATTACCTTCACAGGTGAAGCCATCTGGCTGAAGCTGGTAGCCCATGAAGCAAGAACAGAGGACACTAGTTCCTGTGTCCCTACATTGTTGGGTACAAGGTCCTCCACCTAAAACCCAAGAATTTTGGCACAATATATTCCTTTCTCCAAAGATTGGCGCATTTTCCATTAGCAAAAACTTTCCCAACCATAGTGATACACTACTGCAAAGGACTTGCAGATAGGATATTAAAAACTCGTGCAATCCACTTCACCAAGTAGTGAAGACCACTCAGAACTGGCAGTAACCCACCCAATGACACCAAACTTATCTAGTAACCAGGTGGGATTAATCCCATGGATCCTGCAGGGGCTGCCAAGATATTCCCCAATATGTTTCAAGCAGGAGTGGGCTGTTGGAGGTTCGCAGGGGTTCGGGAGAACCTCTAGCTAAGATTCTGTGCAGTTTGGAGAACTCCCAAATCCCATTCCTGGCTGGCCCTGCCCACCCCACCCTGCCCCTCCCAGGACTTCCCACATAGTTGTTTTTGGATGCAGGTAAATACAGAGTGTGCGTGGAGGCTCTGGGAGGGCGAAAAATGGGCCTACTGAAAGTTCAGGAGGGCCAGAGGTCCTTCAGAGCCTGGAGAGGCTGTTTTTGCCCTCCCGGAGGCTCGACAAAAGCCTCCAGAGCCAGGGGAGGGCAAAAACGCCCCCCCCATGGTGCAGGAGGCCAACTAGGCCACGCCTCACCATGGCCACGCCCACCCAGCAACCAGGCAGTGAACCCCTTGCTAAAATTTTTGAAGCCCACCCCTGGTTTCAAGGTTCTAATTTTAACTTATGAAGCCCTTTAAAACCTATGAAGCACCTTCAGGATTGCTACCTTCAACCAGGTTCCATGTGTTTAATGGAACCCTCCCAGGAGAAGCATTGGGAATGAGGGGAACTGAGGCACTGTTTCTACCTGATGGCCCTACCCCTCTGAAAAGACCTCCACTTCTAGATTAGAGCTTTCCAAAAGCTGATATAATAACTAATTTATTCTGGAAGGATTAAGTTCTGTTGTACATGATTTATATTCAATAATTTAACAGGAGTATCAATGGAGTAGGGATCAAAAAAAGTTGAGGTAATATCCACAAGGACTGAAATGATTGTGCTAAAAGGTCTTTGGATCAGATTGCTCCTAGAAGTGTTTCCCTAAACCACCATTTTAGCCACTGGACCAGATTGGCTCCTCTCAGTTGAGGATATTTCACAATACAACTGTGAAATTCAATTTAGTCCATAGCCCTGGGATTTTGTGATGCTCTCTTATCCAAGAACTAAGGTGTTGTATCTTATGATTCTTGATGAATGTATCTTTTCTTTTTATGTACACTGAGAGCATATGCACCAAAGACAAATTCCTTGTGTGTCCAATCACATTTGGCCAATAAAGAATTCTATCATCTATCTATCTATCTATCTATCTATCTATCTATCTATCTATCTATCTACCTACCTACCTACCTACCTACCTATCTATCTATCTATCTATCCAGCCCCAAACCTGCTTAGCTTTTCAAGATCAGACAAGACATCAGCTAAAACTTGTCAAATGGAGGACTGGTATTTTTTAGAAGGTAACGTTGAATGAGAACGCTGAATAAAATTCACACTCCCTCTACAAACTCTCAAGTTTATCTAACACCAATGCTGTGTTCTCTCTGGATGGTCCCTTTATTACAATATGAACAAGCTTACCTCTGCAACGGTCATTCAGGTAATGATCCTCAAGGTTAATTTCCACTGGAGAAAGCAAGTCGGCATTGAGGAGTGAAAGAGAGATATGCTGTTAATTATACTGGCCTCTCGTTAGAGATATTGGTTGGTTCATTCACAGTCGAAACAACAATGTAGGAAATTGGGAAGAGTTTCCAGTAACATTTAGATGTTTAAATCAGTGTTACTCAAACTTGGCAACTTTTAAGATGCGTAGACCTTAACTCCCAGCATTCCCCAGCCAGCCATTGCTATAGCTGGATAATTCTGGGAATTGTAAATCCACATGTCTTAAAGTTGTTATGGTTGATAAATTCTGGTCTGGATTGAGGAATGAACTCAAAATTGAGATGGTAGATGATGGTGATACTCCTCCCAACAACAACAACTTTGCAGCGTTCAGCCTTTTTAACTTCTGAAGCAAAAAAATGTTACAGGTTCATCTCAGATTAAACACACAAAGTAAATCTCCCTATACATTTTAATCCATTTTACAAACAGCATGCAGCAGCTCTCCTGCAGTTCAAAACATGCTGCTCCTTCATCTCAGAAAGTTTTTTGTTTTTTTTTAATTTGAACAACTTACCCAGTTCTTTGTTAGGACCGTCAACAATCCCAGCATCTGAGTTTTCATGCCCTTCGACACAGCAAGCTCTGAACACCAATCCACACTGATAACCCATTAAGAGGCTCTGTTCACAGCTGTTGCCTTGTTTCTGGGCCTCTTTCCCCAAAATGCAGCACTGACAACATTTCTGTGTAGCGGAAATTAATTTATTGTGTTATGGTAGCTGTCCTTCAAACACAGAGACCTAACACACTTTTCGGTGCTACCTTATGGGGTTAATGCAGGGTTTCCCCAACCTTGGCAACTTTAAGATCTATGGACTTCAACTCTCAGAATTCCTCAGCCATCTTGCAACCATAATGTCTTATACCCTGTTTCTCCTAAAATAAGACCCAACTGGAAAATAAGCCCTAGCATGATTTTTCAGGATGTTCGTAATAAAAGTCCTACCCCAAAAATAAGCCCCAGTTAAGATCATCAGCAGACGGAGGTGTTTAAGTACTGTATTTCTCCCAAAATAAAACCTAACCGGAAAATAAACCATAATGCGTCTTTTGGAGCAAAAATTAATATAAGACCCAGTCTTATTTTGGGGGAAACACAGTAGTTGCTGAGGTTGGGAAACCCTGGGTTAAGTCTTTTAGAACATTTCTCAAAATATTTGGATGTTTAAAAGTTTTCGGCAACAACTACTCAGTTGCAAGCCCCAAAGAATATCTCAAGTGTGTGACTGCTGTGAACATTTTGGAAGGGTTTGGAGATTGAAATGTTGAAAAGTTTCTATGAAATTCAGCATATGTAACCTGCTTTGAATTTGGGACATTTACTCTCAACATATTCAGAATTCTCAGCAGCATAACTGCAATCTATAACTGAAGTATTAAAAGAAGATTGCTTCGGTAAAACAATATAATAAGGAAAGACAGGAAGGGAAAAAAAAATAAAATAGCAAGGGTCAAACAGGGAGCAATTAAAAGCAATTAAAATAAAAGTCTTCAAGACTCATTAATAGATCAACTCTTGACAAGTTAGTTTTCCAAACAATCAGTTTGTTCCTTTTTTTAGTTCTCCTGCTCCCTAATCTGAATCAAGTCTGCTCATATTATTTGAATTATTTTAGAAAGATGTCCCTGATCTTATTATAAATCTCATTTGACAATTCTAGATTAAAATACAACCCAAGAACCCTTCCTCATTATGCAGCTACAGAGTTCTCCATCCCTTAAGATGAAAATTCAGGCTTTTGACATTTATGAATAAATTTCGCAGCAATATCCCGGAGAAATTATATCCAATTTGGCAAGTTTTTTTTTTTTTTAACAATTCATTTACAGTTACTACTTTACTGGAATCCCATCCATGTGTAAAAAAAGGGGGAAATAAACAAAGAATCCTCACCCTTTCCTGCCCGCTTCCTCTCGTTTCACATTTTTTTATTTTTACAACCATCTATTAATTTGATAGGCTCTCATTATGATAATATCCTGTCACAGTATTTTTTTCATTTCTAGCATGAAACGCTTCGTACAGGAGTTGGTACTTTCCACACCTAGCACCATGGTCCATTGTGAAGTATCCATGGTTTCAATAGTGTTCCTCATGTAACAGTCATCGGAGAAATGGCCCCACAGAGATTCCCCCAGGCTGAAGGCCACAATGCAGATTTAAGCACATGTAACAAATGCAGAACAATCACTAAGAATGCTGTAAACAATCTTTTTAAGGGAATCTCTGGTTTTATAGGATGCACCATCAGGAAACACTAAAAACACCCAATATTTTCCATATCCTTTTGTCCCTTTCCTTATTAGCAACCCTCAAAGAACTGCCCAGGAACCAGATAATTCTAGAACCACAGCGTGAAATGTACTGAAGGAGACCAGCAGCATCTGGCTCTGATAACAAAGAAAAATTCCAAATTGCTATGCAGTCATTTCAACATCCCCTCTACAATTTCACCTTAATGATCTTGTCGTCACAGGTGGAATTCTCTCTTGGCATGTCACAATTTTCATGCTTGCTAGCGATGGCCATTCCAGTGGTGCAATGCAGCACCTCCAGCTGACTGAGGCAGCACTGTTCCTGGGCTATCCTACAAAGAGAATCAGACAGAGCATTACAGATGAACAACAGAGTTGGAAGGGACCTTGTAGGTCATCTAGTCCAACCCCCTGCCCAAGCAGGAGACCCTACGCCATTTCTAACAGATGGCAATCCAGTCTCTTCTTCAAAGCTTCCAGTGATGAAGCTCCCACAACTTCTGAAGGCAACTTCTGTTTCATTGGTTGATTGTTCTCACTGTCAGAACATTTCTCCTTATTTCCAGGTTGAATCTCTCCTTGTTCAGTTTCCATCCATTATTCCTTGTCTAGCCTTCAGGTGCCTTGGAAAATAGCTTGATCCCCTCCTCTCTATGGCAGCCCTTCAAATATTGGAAGACTGCTATCATGTCTCCCCTGGGACTTCTCTTCCCTAGACTAGCCATGCCCAGTTCATGTAACCGTTCTTCATAGGTTTTAGCCTCCAGTCCCCTCATCATCTTGGTTGCTCTTCTCTGCACTCTTTCTAGAGTCTCAACATCTGTAATGGAAGCTCTGTAATGGGTGATACGATCGCACAACACACTTGACAAAACATAGAAAAAGTTGCAACTTCGAAAACAGTAGAGAACAGAGTCAAAACAACATTTTCTCAGAATATTCTTAACTCTCCGGCAGGAACCAAAATTGGATTAGGCAAAGAGGCTGAATTTGTAATGAAAGAGGGCTAACCAAGGGGGTTTGGGAAAAGGGGTGCAATTTGGGAAATGGACACCAGCAGCATCTTAGCAGGGGGCAGGATGTGGACAATTTGTCTGAGCTTGAAGCAAGATTGGACCTGGTTTATACTTGGATGAGAGATTACCAGCCTATCCTAAGACTTAGACTTGCTTGGAAAGTAAAAATGAAAATTACGGCAAGCTATTTCCATACTGCTGCTAAGAAAATCACATAGACCAGTGATGGCGAACCTTTTCGGCACCAAGTGCTGAAAAGGTCGCATGTAAACGTCGCATACACTCATCAGTGTCGCACTCGGGAAAAGCCAAACTTCTGGATTTTAGTGCGCCCAACAATCAGCTGGCTGGCACGCATGTGCAGGCTGGTTTTTGACACTGCCGCACGCATGAAGGGATAGCGCTTCGGTAAAGCTGAACTTCCGGGTTCTAGCGCGCATGCGCACCTGACGATCAGCTGGCTGGTGCACATGCGCAGGCTGGTTTTCGGCACTGCAGTGCACGCGAAGGTGTTGCGCTCTGGAAAAGCCAAACTTCCGAGTTCTGGTGCGCATGTGCACCCGACAATCAGCTGGCCGGCGTGTATGCGCACACCAGTTTTTGGCACTGCAGCGTGCGTGAACAGCTGATCATCACGCATTCATGCACTCAAGAAACCTGGAAGACAAACAGGCAAGACCACGCGTGCCGGGCGACATAGCTTCGTTGTGCCACTTTGGGCACGCATGCCATAGGTTCGCCATCACAGACATAGACGTTCAAAAATCACAGATATGCCAGTGAAAATATCAGGAAGTCATCTTGAAAGAGGCAGGGTTCGTGTCCTGGATGAGGAGCCAGTTTGGTGTAGTAGTTAAGGCACCAGGCTAGAAAGCAGAAGACGGTGAGTTCGAGTACTGCCTGAAGCAAGCAAGCCGGCTGGGTGACTTTGGGCCGATCCCTCTCTCTCAGCTCAATCCACCTCACAGGGTTGTTGTTGTAGGGAAAACAGGAGGAGAAAGAAATATCAGGTACATTCGCTGCCTTGAGGTATTTATCGAAACAATATAGGGGAGAAAAAAAAATAATAACTAGATGATGCAACTACATTAAACACTTTGTCATCTACCTGCATTCTTTGGAATCCCGATCTGAAGAGACAAACCTACAGTCTTTCTTTTGACTTGCCCATTCATATCCACGGGAACAGCAGGTCTCCATTGATGCTTCTATGGAGGGGGAAAAAAAAGTGTGTAGTTTGCAGCCTTAGGAAGCAGCATTGACAAAGTCCAGTTTTAAGGAGATTCATTTTCATGAAATGAAAGGAACCTCCCCGACCATCTTACTTAATCTCCTGTCCAGGATTTGACCTACGTTCCCAGTACATATCCCAATTTTTTATTTTATCTCATAATTCTTTCATTTGATTGCACCACCATCTTGTCTCTCTGTTGATCACACCTGCAGACACCCTTGTTCATCTCTATTTTGGGGTGGATATGAATGCATATGACTGGTGCATGCAGATATAGATTTTAAACCTGGAGGTAGATACATTTACATACACACATTTGTCAGAGTGCGCACAGCTTTACTATGTGAGACAACCCAGGAGCAATAACAGCAAACAGAGATTTGTAATAAATAGTGGTTTGATCTTACAAAAGAATATATACTATACATACACATATTATAGGCAGAGGTCAAACAAGCAGCAATTACAGTAGGGAAGAACTAATAGGGCCTCTTCTTATTATACAGGCTCTTAAAGGGATAACAGCCAAAAACCTTGCTTTCATTCCCATCATTACATTATTGCATCAGCTGATCAGGTCTTGAATCACTACCCTGACAACATTTACAATGCAAAATATAAATTTTCTTCCTCTGGTTATAAGTAATCCTCGATTTACAACAATTCAAGACCAGCTGCCTGCAATTACTGCAGGTTCGAATCTCACCAGGCTCAAGGTTGACTCAGCCTTCCATCCTTTCTAAGATAGGTAAATTGAGGACCCAGTTTGTGGGGGCAATAAGATGACTTTGTATAAATATACAAAAGAATGAAGGCTATTGCTTAGCGCATTGTAAGCCGCCCTGAGTCTCCAGAGAAGGGCGGCATATAAATCAAATTAAAAAAAAAAATCACTTAGCAACTGTTCGAAGTTACAACAGCACTGGGAAAAAAAGTAACTAACAACCAATCCTTGCACTTCCAACTGTAGCAGGATCTCCATGGTCGCATGATCAAAATTCAATTGCTTGGCAATCAACATTTATGATAACTGCAGTGTCAAAAGGACATGTGATCACCATTTGCGACCTTCCCAGCTGGCTTCCAACAACCAATGTCAATGGGGCGGGGGAGCCGAATTGGCTTAAGGACCACACGATTCATTTAACAACTAGAGTGATTTGGCTAACAACCATAGCAAAAAAATTCATAAAATCAGACACAACTCACTTAACAATCACCTCGCTTAGTGACAGAAATTCTAGTTCCAATTGTGGTCATGCGTCGAGAGCTATCTGTATAATATAGAGTTTCGTAGTCATAAATCTGTTATGTTTGTAACAAAAATGGATCCAGACAAGCAAACACATTTGAAATGTGCTTCTTGTTCCTCTCTAATTTCTTCTTGATCAGATCAGAATTCTGCTGGAAATCAGCTTGCAATCTGATCATCTCTAGACAAGAAAAGCGGTCTAAATGAGAGATTCCCTTATCACAGGCAGATGTAACTATATCCTAAGGACAATCTTGAGTAACATATTGAACTTCCATCATTCTCTCTTTCATAGCTGACATTTAAGACTTACTGGTACTTAATTTGGGATTAGCAAATTATGTGAAACCCACACATGGTGATTTATGTAATAATTCATATTAGACAAACCAGGGCTTGGAGTCACCCAGGGGTGAAATCCAGCAGGTTCTGACAGGTTCTGGAGAACCGTAGCGGAAATTTTGAGGAGTTCAGAGAACCGGCAAATACTACCTCTGGCTGGCCCCAGAGTGGGGTGGGAATGGAGATTTTGCAGTATCCTTCCCCTGGAGTGGGGAGGGAATGGGGATTTTGCAGTATCCTTCTCCTGGAATGGGCTGGGAATGGGGATTTTGCAGTATCCTTCCCCTGGAGTGGGGTGGGAATGGAGATTTTGCAGTATCCTTCCCCTGCCTCACCCACAGAACGGTAGTAAAAAAAATTTGAATTCCACCACTGGAATCACCTACCCAGAGTGTCCTATTTGCTAAGCCTGGGAAGAGGTAGCTAGCTGCTAAGACCCTCTGGAATTAATTTCAGTTTCAAAAAAATGGGGGGAAATATTTAAACCAATAGTTATAGTGGCCAAGAAAGCAATACCGCACAGTGGTACGTTTTGAATCCAATTAGACAATATGCTAACTGGGGAATTTTGAGAGTTGAAATCTACATATATTAAAGTTGCAGAAGTTGAGGAACACTGAATTAAATCAAAGGATTTTGATTCACTGTGGTGAATCGGTGTCCCAATTAATTCACAGAAAGATTGTCCTGCTTATCCTATGTGAAATTCAGAGGGGGAGGGGGCTTTGCAGCATCAATAATGATATAAACGATGGTTAGAGGAAGAATAGGTGGAGGCGCCTCTAATCTTACTTCAGCATTGTTTGGTGCATAAAAAATAAATAAATATGGACTCAGTTTTACTTGCTTTAATGTGAACATGTCCACCAAAAATACATAGCCCGAATAAATGGGATTGCTAAAGTATGATACCGGTATGTGCAGCTTAGTGTTTCGGTCTGGCTGGTTTTTAGCAATACGATTATGTGTTGAAGTAGAGTTTGTTTTTCACATAGGATAAGCAGGACCATTTTGAAGACTACTTTTGACAGAGAGATCGCCAAGCATCAAAACGTTTCAGGCCGCCTTGGAAGTCCCAGCAAATTAATTGATTAGATGATGGTAACCTGCATAAAGAACCTTCCCTTTCCCCTCCATTTCCTCCTCCCAGATGCCAAGAGCCTTGGTGGCACAGCAGACTAAAGCACTGTTAAGTGCTTTAAGTAACACCAGCTGCCTGCAATTACTGCAAGTTCGAATCTCACCAGGCTCAAGGTTGACTCAGCCTTCCATCCTTTCGAGGTAGGTAAAATGAGGACCTGGAGTGTGGGGGCAATAAGCTGACTTTGTATAAAAAAGAACACCGCTTGGGGTGGGGGCCGAAAGCCCTACTAAGCAGGTATATACAAAAGTATGAAGGCTATTGCTTAACGCATTGTAAGCCACCCTGAGTCTCCGGAGAAGGGCGGCATATAAATCGAACCAATAAATAAATAATAAATAATAAATTTAAATCCTACCTGAGTTTATATCCTTATAGTCACTCCAGGCATCTGGTGAAGGAAATTGTAGCGCGCAAAATCTTCTGCCATTGTGTAAAACATGATAGACCAAAGAGGTCCTTGTTTGCATCTTGTGGGGATGGGAGGTAGGCACCTGCATCTAGTTGTTCTTCTGAACCCATGTCTTTTAGCTTGTAGTATTCACCTCCCAGCAGTGGTAGGTTGCCCCTGGTTCGGACTGGTTCTATAGAACCGGTACTAAAACTGGAGGGAGGCTCCGCCCACCAACCCCGACGTCATCAGAACGTTTCTGCGCACCGTTGCGAACTGGTAGTAAAGTTAAGTAGAACCACCCCTGCCTCCAGGGATGCGGTGGCTCAGTGGCTAAGACGCTGAGCTTGTCAATCGAAAGATCGGCAGTTCAGCAGTTCGAATCCCTAGTGCCGCCTAACGGGGTGAGCTCCCGTTACTTGTCCCAGCTTCTGCCAACCTAGCAGTTCGAAACCACGTAAAAAATGCAAGTAGAAAAATAGGGACCACCTTTGGTGGGAAGGTAACAGTGTTCCGTGCGCCTTTGGAGTTGTGTCATGCCAGCCACATGACCACAGAGACATCTTTGGACAGCGCTGGCTCTTTGGCTTTGAAACGGAGATGAGCACTGCCCCCTAGAGTCGGGAACGACTAGCACATATGTGCCAGGGGAACCTTTACCTTTACCTTTATTCATCTCCCAAAATATTAATCTTTCAGGTAGAAACAGGAGCAATGTCTCCCACTGCATATTGGCTACTCATGCCTTCCACCAAATTGGTTCTTTCCAACTGCAGATTAGAGGAGGGAATCACCTGGTGTCCTACTTTCCTTCTGTATCCTACTGCTGTTCTACACATAAAGGGGTAAAGCTGGAATAAGCAAAGACAATAAGCAGTTTCCCTTTGCGAATGTCAATGCAAGTTACTTATTTCCAGCGGTTCTGGGAAATTCTTTAATAGATTGGCAAGATACACCAGTGTTTCTCAACCTCAACTACTTTAAAATGTGTGGACTTCAACTCAGCGGTGAAATTCAAATTCTTTTACTACCGGTTCTGTGGGCGTGGCTTGGTGGGCGTAGTATGGCTTGGTGGGCATGGCAGGGGAAGGATATTGCAAAATCTCCATTCCCACCCCACTCTGGGGCCAGCCAGTGCTGATATTTGCCAGTTCTCCAAACTATTCAAAATTTCTGCTACCGGTTCTCCAGAACCTGTCAGAACCTACTGGATTTCACCCCTGCTTCAACTCCCAGAATTCCCTAGTTGGCTGGGGAATTCTGGGAGTTGAAATCCACACATCTTAAAGTAGCTGAGGTTGAAAAACACTGATGTAGGTTGTTATTAAGTCCTTGCCTTCAACTCTTTCTGTTGATCTCTTTCTGTTTTTGCCGGCTATTTTTATCCCATCTTATCAGTTAATCTCTTGATGTTTGCTAATGTTTAATAAACAGACATCCAGCAAGTTTTGCTAGCTAAACTAAGCCATATGCTTCCTCTGATCTGGATACAGGAATTGACTGGGCGTGCGCTGGGTAAAACTAAATTGGAAATAACCCACTGGAATTTTCTAAATCTGTTTATCTGAAACAGATCAGATTTACAGATACACCTGATCACTTCTGGGTTTGGGTGTCTTTTTTGGAAAACGTTTGACAAGCACCAGCCCACAAAATGTGCTTTAAATAGTTTGCAGCAGGTAAGCTTATATGCAAGAGGCAAGAGAGGAATTATAAGCTATTGGAGGTTTTAAAAAATATGGAAGTTTAACAAGAAACATGAAACCCTGTAGTGTTTGGAGAAATTTCAGTTGGCAGTATTTCACCATTCGTTTAAGGGATCCAAGAAATAACTTAATAACTTAAATC